TAAATGGAGTTAGAATAACATTAGAAGGGTGAGCGCTGGGCTGCGAAGCTGCCGGCAGCCTCTGAAGAGCGGGTTGGCTCCACAGCCGCTGGTGAGGGTCCCACACGGCGCATAGACCTCTTCTGCCACCCCCATTTCTCCCCTCAGCAGTGTATTCCGTCAGTCTGCCTGTTCTGTTTCCCACTCTGGCTCTGGTGAGTTCACACACACACACACACACACACACACACGCACTTCTGACTGTACCCAGTGCTTGTATAAATAAATAAATCTTAAAAAAAAAAAAAAAGAATAGCATTAGTAGAAGTAGCAAAGCCCTTTGCTGATTCCATTTTCTTTTTGAGCCTTTACCCATTTCACCCACTCTTACCCCCACCTCTGGCAACCACGATCTGCTATTGTATATAAAAATTTGAAATTTTTAGCTTCCATGTATACTTAAGATTAGGAGGTATTTTTCTTTCTCTATCTGATTTATCTCACTTAGGATAATGCCCTCACATTCCATTCATGTTGTCACAAATGGGAAGATTTTATTAATTTTTATGTCTGAACAATATTCCCCCATATATATATTTGTATGATATGTCACATTTTTTTTTAAATATTTATTTATTTATTTATACAAGCACTGGGTACAGTCAGAAGCGCGGGAGGGTGAGAGAATTCACCAGAGCCAGAGCGGGGAGCAGAGCAGGCAGAAGGACCAAAGTACACTGCTGAGGGGAGCAGCGGGCGGCAGGAGAGGTCTGCGCGCCATGTGGGACCCTCCTCCATTGGCCCGGGGAGCAGCCGGGGATCGAACCGGTGCTGCAGAGGCTGCGGGCAGCTTCGCAACCCAGCGCTCAACTGCTGCCCCACCGGGGAGGCCCTGATATGTCACATTTTCTTTATCCATTTAGCCACAAATAGTTGAGAGCTACAGTCTGCTCGTATTACTACAAAAAGTATACAATTATTTGTGATTTTTGTAATGATTCCGAAATTTGTATATACGAGTTAGCAAAAAAAAAACCCAAACAAATATTTTCTAAAGAATTTCTTAAATCCTCACTGCATTTTTCTAAATGAATTTAATATGCATTAATTAACCACCTCTTTGTGCTGAGCATTATAGTAGGTACTAGAAACCTACTCTGTCATTTTTGTCCTCCTTGGATTAAACACCGTGTCCCACTGAAACAAGAAGGATTAAGTATACAATAACAAACAAACAAAATGTCAAAAGTACAGCGCTATGAAGAAAATGAACAAGATGCAGTGTTAGAGAATAGGAGTCAACATATGCACCACTATGCAGATTACTTGGGGTAGACTCCCAGATTATATAATACGATGAGTAATTTTTTTTTTATGATGAGTAAATTATAACCAGCAAAAGAATAACTGAAAGAAACTATTTCAGGTAAGGCAATACTGGGGGAAGAGTATAAACATTTCTTTTTGTGTTTGTTTTTTCGTATTGTTTGTGATACAAATTACTGCCCACGTCCACAAATCTGCCCACTTGTCGGTATTATTAAACCTGCAGCAGAACTGTATTCTTTATTCCTCCATCTATCTTTCCTCACCATCAACTATATCATTATTTGGTTTCCATGGGAACATTTAAAGGGTAAAGTCCACATTTAACTTATGTAAACAAATTTTCATCACATCATAGCCCAAGTTTGTGTATGTGCTTCTGTCTGTATATTCTGCCTATAATGCATATAAAATTAATGCATATAAAATACATTGAATAATGTAGAATGTTAGAACAGAGACATGAGGATTTCAGATCAAAACTGAATAATGAATATTTACAGTGCACTTATTATGTGTCAGACGGTGTACTAAGCTATTTACATTTACTATCTAATTAAGTCCACACAACCAACTCAGATTTGAAGAGATTCAGAAAAGTTAGATATGTATGCAAAGAAATTTTAGAAATATATTAATTGATGTAGTTTGTTTCTATTTATGTAGGTACAACAGTGGTATAACTAAAGCTTTATCTCAGGTCTTGAAGAGCTCTCTAAACAATCATAAATTAAAACATTTAATAGATAAGAAAACATCATTTTGTAATGTAATCATTAGCTTTTTTTAAACTAGTGAGCCATAAAATAATGGTAAAAGTCTGTGCAATCATTTAGGTCCAATGAATTACAATGTTGTAAAGCAGCAGATGGCAGAATTCTGTCAACGATTAAGGTTTGCAAATCTCAAAAAAAGTCATTTCAAAACAAGGTTGATGTCTCTTAAATGGCTAGCGATGGAAACAATAAAATGGAAAAAGATGTCATAATAGATTGTGTACAATTTCTTCCTCTTTTCCTGAATTATTCCCTCCTAGACCAATATTCTTCTATTAGAAGTGCCATCAATCTTTAACTATTAAGAAAAGGTGGTGGTTATGACACAATAATGTAGTCGTTATCTTCCCATTAACATTAACAAGATGAATTTATAGGCTAAGGATGAGCTATAGAAGGAAAAGCCTTATTAATTTGGCTTTTAAAATGACACATTAATGAACAGAGAGAAGTCAGAAAAGATTTAGATTCTACAAAGACCACCAAAGCAATTATCTAGCCTTAATCATAGTAGATTACTACCAAAATTTAAAGTTTCTCCCCCAATGATTTTTTAACTGGCAGCTAATGTAAGAATTCAAGAATTTTTTCCCAAACTTAATGTAAAATGGAATAGAAAGTAAAATTATGTATATTTAATGTATTAAATGATCACTGTAATAGCTGAAACTAAAGTTCATATTATTTTAAATGTAAGTATCAAATATACTTGCTTTCACATTTGTAAATAGTAATAAATTGAAGAAAGTACCTGAATTATTTATCTTCCAATTTTACGAATTAAAAAAGCATACAAAAAGAGAAAATCTTATGAGAAAGAAAAAAAAATCAACTAAAATTCATTCCCCATGATGGCAACTGGTGTGCCTTAAGTTTGTCTATACGTACCATCATTATACTTAATTATGTTCTTGTCAAGATTACATTTATTATTTTCTTTTTCAAGTAACAAAAACATTTTCTTTTGCTAAATTTTCTCCACCGTTACATTAAAATAACTACCTAACAATCTATATTGCTAATGTAGCATAAATTAATAAGTTGTAACATTGTTTCTTCAAATTTTAGATTATTTAAAAATTGTTATTATCAGGCCTCCCTGGTGGTGCAAGGGATTAAGGCTCAGCACTATCAAGCTATCTACAGCCACTGCAGTATGAGTTCCATCCCAACCAGGAAGCTGACCCACGTGGCACAGCAGACCTCTCCTGTCTCACCTGCTGCTCCCCTCAGTAGCGTATTTCTGACAATTCACCTGTTCTGTTCCTCACTCTTGTCTCTTGTGAATCTTCTCACCCCCACACCTGTGGCCTGCACCCAGTTATTGTATGCATAAATAAATAATAAAAATTAATCTTGGGCCTCCCCAGTGGCACAGCAGGTTAGCGCAGTGCTGTGAAGCTGTCCTTAGCCTCTACAGCACAGGTTCGATTCCCAGCCAGCCAGGGAGATTCCCACATGGTGCAACAGACCTCTCCTGTCTCACCCACTGTTCCCCTTAGCAGTGTATTTCTGTCCTTCTGCCTGTTCTGGTCCCTGCTCTGTTTTTGGTGAATCCTCTCACACTCCCTCACCTCTGGCTTGTAACCCAGGGCTTGTATAAATAAATGAATCTTTAAAAAAAAAAAGAAAAATAAAAAATAAATCTTAAAAAAAATAAGAAATAAATGAATAGTTACTATCTCCCAATACCCAGGTATAAGCTCTTCATGTAGAAAATGTTTTGATCTACTGCTTTTAATTGAAGTGAATTACCAAGAAATTTTAGCCTATCAAAGAATAAAAGGTATTTAGATGCAGTAGTTACAAAACACTCAAATCTTTTTTTCTTTTATTGAGGTATCATTGATTTATAACATTTTTAACCAGCAAATTTTAGAATTATTTAGTTGAATTTAAAAATAAGTAAGTCAGGTACTGATGGTTTTAAGTATATATGTTAACTTCAGGAATGTTTACTCCTTTCACTATAATCAAAGTCAAATTGTTAAGGCATTATTGTTAGCTTCTCAATATAATGAAAATGCAACAATTTCCATAAGTAAGTATTGGAGAGGGCCTCCCTGGTGGCGCAGCGGTTGAGTGCTGGGCTGCGAAGCTGCCCCCAACCTCTACAGTGCCGGTTTGATCCTGGCTGCTCCCCGGCCACCAGAGGAGGGTCCCACATGGAGCGCAGACCTCTCCTGCCGCCCGCTGCTCCCCTCAGCAGTGTACTTCGGTCCTTCTGCCTGCTCTGCTCCCCGCTCTGACTCTGGTGAATTCTCTCACCCTCCCGGCTTCCAACTGTACCCAGTGCTTGCATTAATTAATTAATTAATTAATTAAAAACAAAAAAAGTGTTGGAGAGACTCCTTCCACTGCCCCGGTAAAAGTCAGCTGGAACACACTTTCATATCTAGAACAAGCCCATGTGATATTGTAGCTACAGAATCGACTGTCATGTATTAACTTGGATACCTTATTTGCAATAAAAGGATGTGCATTGTAAATGTTTATTACATTTAAGCACAAAATTTGCTACTAAGCTCTTAACTATAAAGAATATAAATATTGTTATATTGAACCAGAATGTCATTCATAAAAAACAGAGGAAATTAATCCTGACTAATGAATTAAATCCTGATTTAATTGAAATCCATTAAAATTTAATTAAATATACCCTGAGTGTCACTGCTATTTAAATAGAAGATAATAACATTGCATTTTATAAAGTTGATTTGCATAAAATATTTAAATCAGAAAAAAGCACAAATTTACCCTAAATGAATGATTCAATTATAAAGTAAAATGTTAATAATTTAACATGTGTTTACAACATCTACACTTGTTCAAATATAACAACTATTACTAGCATTTATTTAGCACTTCCCATATGCCAGACATGTTCTAACAGCTTTATTTGTACTCATGTTATTTCAGAGTAAACCTTTGAGGAAGATATCATAAATATCCTCATCTATAGTTGTGGAAACTGAGGCAAAGAAAGAATCTCAACTGTGTTCCAGATCTTACTGAGTAAGTGTTTGAACCTAGGTTGTTTGTTTTTAGAGCCTGAGCTTTCAACCATTTTTGTTGTTCAAAAACAATGAAATCCTTTATTTATTATAACTTTAATTTTCTTACCAAGTGCTTTTGATTATTTATAGCTTTATAAATATAAATTGAAACTCTTTTCAATATCATGACTATTTGTTTCAGCTGATAGGAGAATTCCTATAAATGATCAAAACAGATGTAGCAAATACTCTTGTTTTGGACCAGAGTCTAAGCATAGTATAGATTAAAAACAGCAATATGACTTTTCAATAAAAAGCGTGAGATATGATTCCAAAGTATTTATTGTATTAAAATATAAAAAATATTTAAAGTATTTATTGCCTTTCTGCACCCAACCTATTCTAATTTTGCTTCAAGAATATTTTATGATTGTTATGCATCAACAAAGGTGTTAAGATTTTGGTTTGACCTTTGCTCTTTCTACACCATAAGTTAAGCAAGCAATCTCTTCCAAATTCTTTACAGAGGCAGAGATCCATCCATCTAACATCTCATTTGCTGTCTTTGTTTAAGGCAAAGGATGTCTGGCAGTGGGAGCAAATGAAGTCTTGGATCAGTTAGTAGGAACCCCAAGTCAAGTATGCACGTTACTTGGGCTCCATCTGCTGGACACTTATATGAATAATTTGCTTTAGACAACAATACTGAGATCACTGGAGAACTCGGGAATTCCAGATATATTTGCACTTATATCTGGAAGTCCCTTGAGTAGTAACTACCTATTTCCTCTAGCTATTCAAAATTATTGTCCAACCAGGGCATTCACCACCTTCTTTGCCTGTTGATTTATAGCCATTGGGCGCTGCAAGTAGCTGGGTGTTAGGCTCAATTTTCAGTTTTATGGAATCATATTGTAACAGGGTGGTCCCCAGGAAAGGGGGAGGTTCCAGGTTCCCTGCCCCACCCAAGGAAGGGTGGAGCAGACGCTCAGGCAAGCAAGCGAGAAGAGGCAGGTTTGTTTAGAAGAAAAAGTTTATTGAGGAGGAAAAGAGCAGAAATAAAGTGGGACTCCCAGGCCAGGGAACCAGGCCTGGGAGGGGCAAGGAAGCCAAAGTGGAATTGTGTTTCAGGGAATATATACCTTTTTTCCCTCATTATTCTAAAACTTCACCAGTCTCTTTGTGATTGGTTAGTTCTCGGCTGTCTCACTTCATTTGCTACTGAGTGGGGATCTTCACATTCCTTATCTAACAGCTTTCTCTTTCCCCATTAGTTGCATCTTTAAATTTATGGCCCAGTCTTCTGGATGGGCATCCCTGCATTGAAGTTAAACAGCTGCCCTTCTAATGTGACCATAAATTAAACCACTCTCCATTTCTCCAATCTCCGCCTCCCTTTACCACCTGAAGGAAACCAGGACCAGCATTAACAATGTTGTCCTTGGTCCTGGCATGTTTGTTTTTCCTAATGGAATTGGTTATATTTCTTTGGTTGTCCTTATCTCTGAAGCCTCCCTAAATTCTTCAAAGTTCCCCTCCTGCACTGTCCCTAAAACTGCCTAATAACCCTAGCTTGCCCTGTCTCATTAGTTATGTTATTGTAAATAGCTCATAGTTGGACTTTAAAACATAACTAGTCTGAGAATCACATTAATCTGGAACTTTTATATTCCATGTAATTATTGATATATTTGCATTTAGATATAACATCTTATTTTGTGCTTTTCATCTTTTGGATCCTATGTTTCCTCTAGTTTTCAGTCCCTCCTGGGATTGCCTCAGCTGCAAAGAGCAGGCTGGCCCACAATCTTACCCTCCTGGGGGAAGCTTATAATAACTGACAGATAAATTTGCAGTATAAAGACCAAGCTATTTCTGCCCAAAATAGGATACCTCTGCATGTTGGGACAGCAGCCTCCATCCAGACTTCTCCCTCTGTCCATCACCATTCACCACTCACCGCTCCTCTCTTCATGGCTGTTAATTCCAAGGGTACTTTCTTTTTTTTTTTATCTTGTGGAAGAACTAGGGTGTAGGCCAGAGGTGGGATGAGGTAAGAGTATTGACCAGAGATAGAGTAGGGAGTAGAACAGGCGGATCTACTGAAACACACTGCTAAGCAGAGCAGTGGCGGGACAAGACAGGTCTGCTGCTCCATGTGGGTCAGCTCCCTGGTCAGGGATCAAACTCGTGCTGCAGAGGCTGCAGATAGCTTCATAGTGCTGATGCTTAACCCCTTGCTCCACCAGGGATGCCCTCAAGCTTGTAGCTTTGTGAGAGCCAGGTTTGGGGTCTTGTGGTGACTCTTTCCAAATTTTCTACTCTTAACCTCCATGACACACACACACACTCACACCCATACACACACAGAGGTCTTTACTGGCATAGCTGACTGTACTAATGTTCTGGACATAAAACTGTAACAGGGTGGTCCCCAGGAAAGGGGGAGGTTCCCTGCCCCACCCAAGGGAGGGTGGAGCTGAGCAGGAAGAGAAGAAGCGGCAGAAGAGACTGAGGAAGGAAGGAAGCAGGATGGAGCCAGGAGACCTGGAGGAGGCACATGGAGCCTAGAGACACGTGAAGAAACTGCGCTTGTCTTTTGGTCGTGGACTAGGTGACACAGATGTGGGTGAGACCCGTGGGGAGGTGACAATGGCAGCTTTTATCTTGATGTTGATTTTGCTCTTTTCCTTCCGGGCTTGTCCAGTTGTTTGTGACCCTTTTCTGTGGGTCCCCACTGGAAGATGCTTTAGACTTGTAGCAGGCTTTGGGGCCTTGTTCTGGGCCAATCCCATTTGGATGGACTTTTACCCACGAGGGGATGGGTAGCTTTGGGTGCTTCACTTAGAAACTAGACTCTTTGCCTTACCTGTCTTGTTTCCTAGTTTTATTAAAGATCCTTCCCATTACTCTCCTGTTTTGTGTTGATGCGGCGGATGGCAGAACCCATGTAGAATAGGCAGGTTTGCGGGGTTTGGGCTGCCCCTCTCCCTGTCCTATAACAAAACCAGGCTGATGTGACTAAATCATTTGAAATTGAATATTACACTTTTCTAAATCCAGTCTTATGCTATTTTGGTTAGTGGTTTTCTTTTGCTCTTCTTAGTGTTTTACTCAGTTTATCTTCTTTACCCTACATCATCTTGTTATGTACTCACATGTTTGTTGCTTGTTTTCCTGCTAACCATTGCCCTCCAGTGGCCCCGTCAGGTATTTTCCTAAACAAACACTTCCCTATCCTGTAACTTGGCTATTAAGAACAATTCCTTTTTAAGTATTTCAATTGTAATAGACTAAACCAGTTTTCAACACAAGTTATATATATTTGTGTGTGTGATTTGTATATGTATGTGTGTGTACATATGTGTATATATATTTGTAATTTTTTTAAGTTCTTAAGGAATCAGTGAAGAAGATGTTAAGCATTTTTTTCACTTGCTTTGCAAAAACCTGATTTCTCTTAAAAAAAAAAATCTGTCAATGAACAATATCAATTAAAAATATCTTCCATGAGGGTGAGTCACTTGGCCACATTTCAGAGTGGTTCATCCTGAAATCACTGAAATTAGAAGTTTTAAAGGAGCTACTCTGAATTTAATTTTTTCTTTTTTGTTTTATTTACCATTACTGACAACTGACTTTTAAGACCTCACTGTAAAATTCAGTGGACTGAAATAATGTTTTTCATTCTAAATGATGACAAAGGCTGAGTGAAAAATTTGGAAAGGAGGCATTGCAAGACCAGAAACTGGAGGTCAGGGTAAAGATGATTAACATTGAAAGGGAACTGCTAAGAAAAGGAAATCTTTCCCAGTTAAAGTCTTAGACCTGGAAATGTAAAGTAAATAACAAGTTGGCTTCCTTAATAAGCATATCTAAACAAGGTCTGGCAGCCTGCTAGGCTGATTGATCTCCCAGGCCATCCTCCAAGATCTATATCCTTCCCCTTTTCCTGTGTCAAGAATTTGTATGCTAACTAACCAACTTTGTCAATGTAAAGTGGTTATGGATAAAAGAGACTCTTTGTCTCTAGACCAGGGCTCAGACCTTACGGGCCTACCCAGGTCTGAGGCCTCATGCATGAGTAATAACGCTTCTCCTGGCCTCACCTTTTCTGAAGTACCTCTTGTTCTTCCCCAGCCTGAGTAAAAGGCTAGAATTTATTTCTGCAACAACATCATTCTAGAAGTGTTATAGGGCAGCCCCGATATTGAACGGGTTGCCTGGCTGTGGGTCCTCACCCACGTGCTTAAAAGGGACTTATTAATACTCCACTACAGGCACATACAAAAGGTTAATAAAAGGTTTATTTACAAGGGAAAAGGAAATAAGGAAAATGTGCAACTCAGGGAGAAAATAGGGAAATAAAGTCTTTAATGCATGCTACCCGATCCGCCGACCTGGAAACCCAAAGTCACTCTCAGAGCTGGCCGGATGCTGCGAGCTGGCAGAGAGCCAAAATGGGGGACCCCTCCCCCAAAGCCCACGTGTCTGGCTTTATACCAACTTGGCTGCTTAACCCCACCCTCAGGTCCCAGCCACCTTCCCTTTGGTGGTGATGTAACAGGGTGGTCTCCCTGTCCTATAACAGTGATGGGATTTGGAGTTCCCAGTGTCTTTGGCCTGAAGTGGGGGTGGAGTCCACAAAGCCTGTATGGAATTAGCTTTAGGACATCCTTTTCCCCCTAACAGAATCAGGTATATAAATAAAAAATCCTTAGCACCAACTGCTATGGCAAGTTTTCAGGTATAGGAAACATTCCCAAAGCAGATCAGAGTGGGGGATATGTAGATTGAGGCTATTGTAAACAATCTCTAGTCCTTACAAATGGACCTAGCCACACCCTAGAAGCAATTAATATAACAATAGATTTCAAACCCACAAAGGAATGAGCCCCTCCCAAAAAGAAGACTGCATCAGTACAATTTCCTCTCTGGCAAGATGCAGCCCTCCCTGCCTACCTGTCACCTCATAGGCCCTTTTTCTCCTTTTCATAATACAATAAACCTGCCCCTTTA